ACTTTCATCTAGTATGAAAGATCAGAGCAAACGTAGTTCGGGCTAAAAGGAACACAGGTTGGTTCAAAAGTTTTTAGGCCCGAGTAGGGTTAACAAATAGTTCTAGCAGTTGGTGTATGCAGCTCGACCATTGGAGACTTAGGCGTTACCGTTTGCAGTAGAACTAAGAGTTAACGACACTCTTTTATCTGAAAAGACTTTCCTGATTAAGATCCCGAAGGATGAAAAAGATTTGAAGTGTTTTTGTGTTTTTTAGAGAAGAAGTGTTTTGAACTTGATTTGTAAATCATATTGCACTAAAGACTATGATATAGGAGCGAATGCGTCGTATATCGTCCAAAGGACATATACTAACATTCTAGATAATTGAGAGGCAACCACCCAATCATCATTTCCCAAATAGCTTAAGGCTTGTAGCGTACAACACTTATCATCCTTTATTAAGTGTTTTATGAATGTTTGAAGAAGAGAAGAGAAGAGGGAACACTAATGAGAGACTAATCAATCCTAAAAGTTATCATGCAAAGCACACCTAAAGTTGAGATTCAAAAGGGAACTACCTAATGTTATCATGCATGGTTAGGCACCTAATGTCTATCATAACCTTAAGAGGTTAGAGAACTTATGGGGAGCATGGCAAAGAAAAGCAAAAGAAGAAGAAAAAGAATGCACATACAAATGAAAGAATGCACACATAAAATGCACAAATAGAATGAAAGTGGGAGGAAAATAGTGTGGGGCAGTAGCCTCCACAAGCTCATCTCAACCAAGCATGCATATGGAAATTCAAGAAAAGAAAGGAGAAGAAGAACTCAAGAAGAAATCAAATCAAACAAAAATAAACCACACAAAGGTGCATCAAAAGTGGGATGAAATGACCTAAGTCAAGCAACATCAACCACACCACAAAAACTAAACCAAATGGAAGGTAAAACAAAAACCAAAACCAAATGAGGATGGGAGACCAAATGAGGGCAGCAAGGCCCTCATAATAGGTACTCAACCATAAGCATCACAAGCCAAGTGCAAAAGAAGCACAAAAGAGTCCTCAAGGATCCATTATTTTAGGTATACTTCAAGTACCTCCTCAGGAGGGACTAAGATACCTTAAATGAGGTTCCAAAGTCATTAGACAGAAGGGAGATGAAAATAAGAAAGCTCAAAAGCAATATCAAAACAAATCAAGAAGAAATGCAAGTAAGAGCACAAAGGAAGCAAACATGCATCACATAGGAGTTCAAGTTGAAAACTCAAAAGGAAACACACAAATGAACAAGGAAGAAACAATATCATGACCTAAAATTGAACCAACATCATCCTTAACATGTTAGCAACATGAATCAAAAGGCATTGAGGGTTCAAAGGATCCAAAAATGTCTTATCCAAATCAAACTAGGTCAAGGTACATGTGTGAACCTCCCTTGGAGGTAACTTGACTTGCAAGTTACCTCAAAAAATAGGAAAATGGTTCATAAATAATCAAATAAAATGCACAAGGTAGCTAAACATGTTGGAAAACAGAGGCCAAAAGCTCAAAGCAAATATCCCCTCAAAGCACCATCAAAAGAAAATAATATTCAAGATGTACCACTTTGAAATGGGAGAATCGGGGGTCAAAAGAAAAGCACTAAAAGTCAACCCTAAAGTCAACCAACCAGGGGCAAAACGGTCCTTAAAATTTTTTCAACTCATCATGGATATGAGGATCAATTTTCATTCATTGGACCCAAAGGAAAAGGAAGAAACAAATATAAGAACAAGCAATGTACAATTTAATTCAATTAAAAACACCTCCAATATTTAATTGTATTTAAAAATGAAAAATAATCTGAAAAATAAAATAAAAAATGTCTAAAAATAATAGACATCTCAAAGTTTGTAAAAATATTTTTTGTGGAATTTTTGGAGTATTGGAGATATTTTTAATTAATTAAATTCAAACAAGAATAAAAAAGAAAATATCAAAATGAATAAAAGAAAATGAAAATACAAGAAAAAACAACAACCACTGGATCAGGAGACCATCTACGTGCTATGGAGGTTACAGATCAAGCAACAAACAAGCAAAACAGCACAAGAATAAGCCATATCAGATCCAAACATTTTTGAGCTTCATCCAACAATCAACACAAATGCCAGTTCGTTTTAGTGATTAATGATCTACATGTTATCTAGGTCTCAAATATGTAAAAATGGTAGTGAATCAATGCATATTCAGAGTGTAAGGTTGAATTGTAAATACCTAGTGAAGAACTTCCACTGAGCCTTCAATTGATGCTTAAGCTTGAAGAAAAATGTCCAGAATCACTCCACAAACTTCAATAAAGCTTTTGCAATTCACAATTTGGCTTGAAACTTGCTAATTCTCAGAATTCGAATTTTGAATTTTCACCACTTTTTCCAAATGCTCCAGCTCCAATTCTCCTCCAATTTCGTGTTCTGAGCACTTGTTCATGATGGAAAGCTTTTATGTGATGGATTTGAAAAGAAATTAAGCCCAAATTCAGCCTCTAAGAGCCCAATTGAAATCCATGGAATTTGAGTTTTTCCTACTTGTCATGTGCACGAATTCTTCACCAATTTGGCTCCAAAATGACGCATTTTGCTTGCTGATGACATGAGGAGTGTGAAGGGATGGGATTTGATCCTTGTTTGATCTCAATGGTTGATGTTTGTCATGTTACTTATTCTTGAAGCAATTCAAAAATTGGCCATGAAATGAGACTCAACTTGAAATTATAATAATGCCAATATGTTCAAAACATCAAATGCACTCAAAATATGCACAAGCTTGCATAATTTTGAGCCAATATGAATTATTTTGAATTTTCCCATTTTAATGCCTTTAAAATGCCTTTTGTAAGATTTTCTTCAACCAACTCTCATTCATATCCATATCAATGAACCCTTGATGCTTGGTTGGGTAATTAACCCCATTTTGAGCAAGTTTGGTGTTGGAAAAATCTCCATTTGAAGTGTGCAAGAAGGTGAAATGGACCTATAATTTTATGACCTATAATCTCACTTTCCCAAAATACCCCTGACTTGCAAGTCTCATAACATGAGTTCTACAAATTAGATGAAAGACTTCTAGTACGTTTTGAAAATCTAAGACCAAGACCTACAACTTTCATGTTGGCCAAAAGTTGAGGAGAAACATCCTTCTAGGTCAAAAAAGGCTTGGTAGTGAGTTGACTTTTGTTGCCCAAAATCACATTCATCTGATGACCTGTAACTTGTCTGCATCATAACTTGAGTTCTACAAATCCAATCAAGGACTTCTAGTACTCAAAAGAAATCTAAGAACATGCTCTACAAGTTTCATGTTGGTCAAAAGTTGAGATGAAACTTGTATCCTAAGATAGGTGGTCTTGAAGTTAGGCACTAAATAGGGGATTTTACCCTGAGAACCCTAATTTAGTAACTTCTCACACTTTTGATTCTTGATGAATTGATCTTGAAATGATATACCATGTATCTTAGCATAACATCCCATGACCATAGAGACTTGGAATTGAGTTTTAATCTCCTTCAATTTCACAATTGACTGAGCATTTACCAGATGAAAACCCTAATTGCAACACCTTCAACTGTAACTTTTCACACTTAGTATAAACACTTGGATGAGCTCCACAATGACCCTCAAGGCACTCAATGAGCTCTCTCAACATCTTATATTCATGATCATGAATTCACAATCCTCTGATGATCTTGAACTGACCTCCAATTTAGGAGCTGCCTCACATACATCCATCAAACCTTTCACAAGACCATTGCCCACTTCTAGATGACTTGATGACCATTCAAACCTGAGTAACACCCCTTGCTTAAGCTCAACCCTCTGAGTAGACTGCTCTTGATATGCACAACCTCTTGATCCACTGTTCAATGCAAAATGCTATGCAATGCAAATGCTAGAAAGAAATGAAATGAAACATAAACCAAGTTAAGAAAAGGTTGGGCAAATTTTGGGGTGCAACACCTATCCTATTGCCATACCTTATTTATTACTACAAGAAAAAAGGAGATTTACGACACTTGAGTTGCGACAGTTATCTCAAAACCGTCCTTATTCTTGGATTGCGACGGTTGTCACGACAGTTAGGGTCAACTGTCATAGATTTTTTGCGACAGTTATCAAAAAACTGTCCTTATTCCTGGACTATGACAATTCTCACGACGGTTTGAGCCAATCGTCGCAAATTTTTTAGGCATGTTGTATAAAATAATGCGACAGTTACCAAAGAACCACCCTCTTTCCACACTCGCGACAGTTAAGGCGAACTGTCGCAATTACTTTAGCCAATCATAATCACTATTTTTTTATTCCTTTAATTTTCCACTTTTTTCTTTCATTTTTATTTTCTAACATTTTCAGTTTTATTAATTAATTTAATAAATAATTATTATAATTATTATAATTTTCATGACAATGTAGCTTAATATTTTTGTCTAAAATAATAGTAAAATATTTTCTGTTTTATTATATAAATAGTTAACTTTTATTAAAATTAATTATGATAACAATGTTAATATATATATATATATATATATATATATATATATATATATATATATATATATATATATATATATATATATATATATATATATATATATATATATATATATATATATATATATATATATATATATATATATATATATATATATATATATATATATATATATATATATATATATATATATATATATATATATATATATATATTAACATTGTTATCATAATTAATTTTAATAAAAGTTAACTATTTATATAATAAAACAGAAAATATTTTACTATTATTTTAGACAAAAATATTAAGCTACATTGTCATGAAAATATTAACCTTTTTATCCCATAATTATCACTGTAATTAGCATTTTTTGGTGAAATCCTCCAGTTTTCTTCTATTTGACTTGGCTGAGTGAAACTTTTTTATGTGAATAATAAGGGGTATGTTCTTGTTTTGCAGCCTACTAACAAGTTTTGTTCCTTTATGGTGGATGGCCGACCTGGTGAGCGATGGATTACATTGAATAGACAATTTGCCGATGAAAGTATTAAAGTTGAAATCACCATGTTTAATGGAGCTGCTCCTGCTCTGAAAGCAAGTGGTGGTGTGGCTAATGCAGACGAAGCGCAGCTACATATTACTTTAATTGTCAATATCTCCAAGGATAGATTCATGGAATTAACAGAGCGACTCAAGCTTTGCTCGGGGACCTTATATGAACACTTTACCAAGATTCTTGAAGGCTATAAAGAACAACATTTGTTAAATGAATTGGCAACGGGGAAAAATATGGATGCTTATCCTATGACATTTGAGAGATATGTGCAGAAGGAATGGAAAGAGATTGCACAGAAATATGAATTGGATGATGATGATGACAAGAATGCATGTGTGATTTCACCGGAAAAATTTGTAATGCAGAGATTTGGGAATTTAAGAAAGATCCTTGAGTTCTTAAATCATGCCTTATACACTCATTTACCAAAATATTTTGTTTCACTTGAAACAGTCAAAGTTATGTTACAAGCTCCTAAGATGCTCGAGTCTTTTGAAAATTCCCTGAGTCAATGCATATTCAAGCCAACTCTTTTTGACCTTGAAGAAAAATTTGTGTCTGATTGCTTTGGACTTGAGAAAATGGATGAGATATTATGCATTCTAAGTTTGCTATCTTCCTCAATTTCTCTACCTGGTATTTATATGAAACGTGATATAGAAGAATTTTGTTTGTCAAACACATGTCTTATTTTATGTACAACTTCAAGTTCTGGTAAACTGTACACATTAGGAATGACTCTAGTGAAATTTTTAGTAATTGATGAAGCTGCCCAACTAAAAAGATGTGAATCTACGATTCTGTTGCAGCTTCCTGGTCTTAGCCATTGCATTCTTATAGGTGATGAGAGACAGCTTCCTGCATTGGTCAAAAGCAAGGTACTTAATAGTTTCTTAAACTTTTGCATTAATAAAAGATTATTCTGTGATATTTTGAAAATGCAATATTTGTAGATAGTTGACAAGTGTGAATTTGGAAGAAGTATGTTTGAGAGGCTTGTAAGATTGGGAGTTTTACGATGAAAAACATTCCCAATAATTTTCATCGTAAGATTGGGAGAGTCCCTATTCGACACACCCTATCTTTAACACGTATATCCCTTTTCTCAAAAATTTCGATTTATGTCGTTGAATTTCGTAAGCATACTACAATTTTGTTTCATTTGATTTTTCCTTTAGAGGTACCAAACTGAGCATGAGTTACTGAGATACATTCATAGGTTACAATCAAAAGATCTCTCACTTTCCCACAACATGATCCCACTTGGATCTTGTACAATGAAGTTGAATGCAACAACTGAAATGATGCCTGTGACATGGCCTAGCTTTATCGATTTGCACCCTTTCGCACCAACTGAACAGCCTCAAGGTTATCAGGTACTTCCTTCGTCTCATACTAACTGTCTTTTAAGGTAATGCACATGTCTTAAGAAAATGTTTATCTATACTAATTTTCAATGCAATAATGCCTTAAAATATATGATAGTTTTGTGTTTTTTGTGTCTAAACAAGCGAATTTGGTTCCAGAAAATGTTCGACAACTTGGGTGATATGTTGTGTACCATTACTGGATTTGACTCCTTCTCTTTGCAACCAAATTACACGTCAGGGCTGGTTTGTATGTATATTTCTTAGGTTTTTGTTTCATTTTTTTCATCATACGATATATATATTTTTTTCTTCGATTATTGGATTTGATTTAGCAGTTACTATGCTTAGGTTGGTTTGTATCAAAGGTGAAGGTGGTGGTGAGAGTTAGATAGAGATGGCTCAGAATCCAAGAGTTATGCCAAACTGTGTTTATGCTTCTAATCCCTATCATGAATGCACTTCAAATTTCTTGCAATAGATCAAGGAATCAAATTCTAAGCCACCTAAGAGTAAAAAGAGTTTTGGTTAGTTATTTTTCTTATTTGTTTGGATTATGTGATTTTAATTTGTTTGCTGATAGAAGCACTTTTAGGAGAGATTATGAAAATAATTTATGGTATTAGCAATTTGTTTTGATGATAGTTATTAATGAGTAAAACATTCTTATTCTTATTCTTAACAAATACAAGTGTTTTTCAAACAAAAAGCTAGCAGAATACCCTACACAACTTGAGGAAGTTTTGCTTTTGGAAGACCGTGTTGGTGAAGCCAAAAGATTAGCAGCAACTAGAAGACTACAAAACTGATTATGAAGGGCTCATGATGATACTAGAAGACCACAAGTGATTTTCTTTATTGATGCTAACTAAAAGTAATGTTTAAGCTTTTGTAGATGTTCATGTTTATCCTCTAAGGCAAAATCATACCAAAGATTTTTCAGTCATCGGTAGAAAATCTTGGATCATCACTTGGTGTGGAAAATTGGGCAAAATATCTTGGATCATCATAGGTTGTACAATTATATTGATTATATTGTATATATCAAGTTATAGATTATGACATTTGATCATTTAGATATTCATAAGTATATATTTAGTAGAAAATATAATAAGTTATTTAGAAAAGTGATATAATGAAATATCAATTGTTTTTTAAGTTATATAAATTTATATATTTGTTATATGTGAGTCTTTATATATTTGATATACGTGAGTCTTTATATATTTGATATATTACCAAAAATCAATAATGTTTAAATTAAAAAAACTAATATTATATAAAAAAATGAGATGAAAGTAATTTAAATAAAAAAGAATATTATAAAAAAAATTCTATAGATAAAATTACGACGGTTTAAACCGTCACAACTAGCATAAATAATATTTAGAATTAGTAAATATAATTATGAGGGTTGAAAACCGTCACAATATGGAGATTATGATAGTTAGCTACCCATCGTGACAATAACGACGATTTGTACGACAGTTTTCACAACCGTCGCAATACGGCCTCGCGACGCACGTTTCCACGACGGGGTTGAAACCGTCGTAACTTACAAATTGCGACGATTAAAACCGTTGTAATATGTCAAAATGAACCATCGCAATTTGCCAATTTTCTTGTAGTGTTTTTACCCCTAAGATCCCACTTTATTCACCACATTCATCATTACATATGTGTGTCTTTAGGTATCACTAACCAATATCAAATACAAGATATGTGTGCTTGTTTGCTTTATAGGTTAGGTGGTTCCCCCAAGGGCTCAATCAGATGAATTATCAAAAGAGAGGCACTATATTCAACATCTAAAATCCCTTATTCATCCATGAAGATCAACATTTTCCCTTCATCAACTATCAAGTGCAAGATTTCATCATGATAAGCTCATCAAGCCTCAAGATCCTCAGTGCACAAAATTAGGGTTTTGACCTGATTCAGTCTCTGGTTGACTTTTAGAGCAAGGCATGATCCAATACCTCAACACATGTCTCAAGGATATCAAATGAATCATATTATGATTAGCTTAATCCAAAGAGCTTGATTCATAAGCAATGCAAAAATTCAAAGTTATCTGGTCCACAAACTAGGGTTTCTGATGAAAAGTCAACTGCACCTTTGACTTTCGACCAAGACATGATCTCAAGCCTATAAGCATGATTCAAGACACTCAAAAACACCTTTGGAGTCTATAAATAATGTTCAATTAGCTTAAGAGTTTGATTTCATTGAAGATTACAAAATTCAAGTTCATCTAATACAAAAGTCAACCACTGATCAAAGTCAAGTATGACTTTTGAATTTTTTTTAGTCAACCATGGCCTCCTCAAGTCAACAATGATGATAATATGAGATTTGGATCATGATTTATCAAGAGAAATCAAGAAATATGAGGTTACTTGCAAAAAGGGTAACATTGAGGGGTTTGAAAATTTTCAAAGTTATGAAAGATCATGACTTTTGTCAAACTTGTCAAGACCATAACTTCCAATTCAAGTAACCATTTTGTTTTTTCCAAAGACCAAATTGAAGAGCTTTTTACATACTACAACTTTGTCCTTGAGGATTATTTCCCAAAAAAATGCATAAATTAAGAGATATGAAGCCATGAAGTTGGAGGTTCAATACTTTTTGAACTTGGACACTAAGAAACTTTTTAAGCATAATCAGTCTTGTGTTGGAGCCAACTTTAAGGTCGTTTTTCTCCATGATCCATATTGATTCAAGACAAATCTTGAACATCAAACTTAAATTATGTTATATCAACCTTTCAAAATGACCAAGAACATTCATTTATCTTACTTGAGCAAGAGGATATGATTTTCACAAGAAGCCTTGTTGCAACTGATTTCTCAAGACAAATTTGCTACACATACTTGTTCTACACGACTTGGATGACCTTTCTAGCTGCATTTCTTCATAAGATCAACAACAAAATCATCATGCACCATGTGCTCTGCAAGATCACAACAAAATTTTCAAAGTTCTATCCCTTGGCATGTGATAAAAATCATTCAAAAGCTAGGAAGTGAAGTTTTGTCCTCTAGCATTAAAGTGAAATAGTGAATTTGCCAAAAACTACTCCAATATGTCCAAGAATGATCAAAACACCAAGGGATGAGATGCAATATGAGAGAATCAAGCTCAAAAGATCATAATTGGTAGCCATGTGAGAATGGAGGCTATGTACCTTGACACTCAAGTAATAGATACATGAAATCACCTATTGGATAATAGCGTGTATCTGTCATACGCCAAATATGTCCTACATGTGAATAACTTTCATCTATACTTCCATCCACTAACCACATTCCAAAAATCCAAAATATGTTGTTCTTGCTCAAGGTCTTGGAAGTTCATATCAAGTTTCAAGCAAAGTTATTAGGCCAACTGTATGGGCAGTGTCAGTTGAATTAAGTGGAATTTGACCTAATATTGGTTAAAGAAGTGGTTTTCTTTAGTATCAAGTTATCAGGTTGTGGCAAAGGTAGTTGTTTCAAGGTGGATAATCATCAGGGCCAGTTCATTTTCAATTAAGGTTTTAGTGCAGTCGCCACAATTCATATCTTAGGTCATTTGTTATCATTGGTTGTTTTAAGGACAAGTGTGGATTGGATTCAAGTACTTGTGTTTAAGGATCCAAATCAGGGTTTTGTGCAAAGATTCAAGCTGCCTAATGAAGTGAAGTTGTAAAGCCATCAAAATTCAAGGCATTTGGTCAATACTTCAAGTAGCTAGTGGTTCATGTTCTTGTCATAGAAAAAACTCAAACGTTTTATTCAATTCAAGAACATTTGAAGATGGATTTAGGAGTTGGTATCATTTCTCACAGAATTGGTTCAGAATTTTAATGCAATTTCTGACTCTAGACCGGGCTATGCTTGATTCCATTCCCCAAGGAATTGATTCAAGATGTTAAGATTATTTCATGTGAAAGATATAAGAATTCTCAGAGTTTAATTTTCAAACATGAAATGGAAAGTGCAAGTTCAAATCCTTTGTTTCAATGTAAGATTCGAGTCTAATTCAAGTGTCTATTTCCAAGCTTCAATCCATTGTCAATTTTTCAAGTTTCATTTCTTTCCAATTCATTAAAGTCATCATATTAATCCTGATCAAATTCAATCCCATTTCAAAGTTTCAAGTTCATATCATTTTTAAGTTTATTCTAAGTATTTCATTTTCAAAGTTTCAAGTCCATATCATTTTCAAGTTTATTCTAGGTTTCAAGTCCATGTCATTTTCAAAGTTTCAAGTCCATGTCATTTTCAAGTTCATCTTAATAGCCAAGTCTATGTCCTTCCAAATCCATTCAAGGATCATTTTCAATTTTAATCAGAATCCAAGTTCCGTTTAAATTGCAACCAAATTCAACGTTTCAATTTCAATTCAATTTTTTTTCAACCCAATTAAAGTTCATTCCAATTTTCATTTTCGTCCAAACTACAAAATTCAAATTTATTGTCAAAATTTCTTTTTACGTTCAAGGTTCAAATTACATCCAAGATTCAAATTTCACTTTACATATTCAATTCAAGTTCCAAAACCATTTGCATTTGTCATATAAAATTGTTACAAGAAATAGTCTAAATTTTGCAAGCCCATTTCAATAAAAAGCCCATGAATTACAAAATGCTACAATAAAAAAAACCAAA